CTGGGGAGGCTTCTGTCTGGTATTGGCGTCTCTCCCACCAGGGCCCCAGCTCTCCCCACAGGTGCCCCCAGCGTTCTTCCCTGTCTCCCCAGAACACAGCAGCCCAGGCACCTGGGTGGTCTGGTATGCCACACCTGGGAAAACTGCTCCCGGTTTTCCTTGTTTTGCCCCTTCTCCCCAGCCAGATATTTGTATGTGAGGTCAGGTGAGGAAGTTAAAGAATAACCAAGAGATAAACAGTCACCTGGGGTCCTGACTCTCAGGTCAGGCATGATCGAGTGCCTCTTGTCATTCAACAGACATTTATTGAGACCCTGATTCAATGTCAGGCTCTAAGGCTGGGTGTCAGAGAGAGGTGACCTCAGGGCTGACAACTGTGCCTAGCGTTACTTGGTACAATGGGGGCTGAAATAAAAGAGAAATCCGTAGCCCCCAACTCTCAGGAGACTTCACATAGGTGCAAGGGGGTGTGTGTATGCATGTGTGTGCCCATTTGTGGGCGTGTGTGCCCATGTGTGTGTATCTGTGTGCCTGTGCGCGCATGTGTGTCACGGTTGCTGTTGCTGGAGTGAAGGTGTAGGAAGGCATCATTGTGAGAAGAGCCACTGAGTTGGCATCCCAGGAGCAGGAGGTGTGGGAGGAGCTCGCTGGAAAGACAATAGGATCTATGTTTTTGAAAAGGAGGAAAGGTAGGACAAAAGAGAAAGCCTCTCCCAGAGCCCTCCTCCCCCTCGGCCCTGTGTTCAGGCTCCCGCAAAGCCCTTGGACTTTCCTGTGCAAGGCAAGTGACAACAGCCACCCATCAGCACGGCTCTCAGGGACACCCATCACAACGAGGAGGCTGCTGCGCCTGCCTGGTTGGGTAGGCAGCCTCAGGGCTGCAGGGTTGGCCCAGACCCTTCTATGGACACTGCCCGCACCGCCAGTCTGGACCAGGCACTGCACAGGGAAAGGCACAGTCTGGAAGTGGGCCTGCTATCGAGCCCGCGGGCAGGCATCTTGGATGTCTGGGGAGGGTGGGTGCTGGCAGCTGGAAATAGGAATGGGCGGCAGGCATCTGGTGACCAAAGTCGTTAGGAGTTGGAGGTCAGCAGTTGGCCCCTGGAGATCTGGCATTTCATGCAACCAACACAAACCCTTCACGGTGAAGCGGCTGTGTTGAGATCTGGGCCCATGAGGCTCTCCAACCAGAACCTTACAGACAGTAGCAGTGACCAGTGACCAGCTGAGTGCTGGCCCTGGATGCTGCTGGAGGAGGGATATGCTGGTGTGAGCCCCTGGGAGAGGTGAGACCCATATGAATGCAATCAAGACAAGCCTATTGATTGCGCACCATTTCCAGGCCTGGACACTAACACTTCACACCCTTCCCCATGTCACCCGCAGCTCCCCTCTTTCCGCATGAGAGGCGTCTTGCTTGTAGCAGCCCATCCTCCTTAGTCCCTGTCCATACCCTGAGCACCTCGGCCTGAGCTGAGACAACAGAAGCCCCAAGACACGTCCTCTGTCTACCTCACGACAGCCTCCTCCGATCCCCGACTAGGCCTCCAACCTCGGCACCACTGTCATTTGGGGCTGATGATTCTTTGTTCGGCAAAGGCAGGACTGTCCTGCACACCCAGGGATGCTTACAGAGCTTTGGGCCCTGCTCACTGGTACTTCCCTGGTTGGGACACCCAGAAATGCCTTCATATATTGCCGAATATTCCCAGGAGATGACATTGCCCTGACCCAGTGTCCCAGTTCCACCCCGTTGAGAAGAGCCATCCTAGACCAGCCTCACAGGCATCTGACACCCTGGCTGACGGTTTCCACCTTGTGTGCCTTCTCACGAAGTGGCGCCCGGCCGCTCTGGCTGGTTGCTGCGATGGTGTTGGTGATGGCCTCCTGACAGGACCCTGGCCACCCGGGGCTTCCAGAGAACCCAGAGTGTAGCCTCCTTTTGAAAGTCAAGCAGGAAATGCCTCCAGTCTTTTCTAGATGTTCCTTTTCTAGCTCATCTCCCCTTCCACACCTGTTCTTTCTCTCATTCACGTGCAGGAAGAGGAATACGAATAAGGGATATCCTAAGAGACGAAGAAACACTGACGCTGTCTCTCATAAAAAACATTGGCCTGCCTGACTCAGTCGTCTACCTCCTGGTCAACTCCCAAGTCCGTCCAGAACAGGTAGGTGGATGTCACAGGCGGGCATCTCTGAAGGGGAGGGGTGAGCACCAAACCTGAGAAGGGAAAGGGAAGGCTTGGCTGTTTCTCTTTCCCTTCCTCAGTTTCCTGTTCAGAATCCATGACTCACACCCATATTTATTTTAGAAAAGTGCCTTGAGTCCCTTGGGATGTTGAGCCCTTTTGCCACAGGACTCTGAAGCCACACACATTCTGGCCACTCTCAGACATCTCAGATTTTTGTCCCTGGACGGAACCTCGGGACCCACGGGCCCAACCTCCTCTTCATAGTTGAGGGGACTGAGGCCTACTCATTTATGAGTCAAGTATTTAGGGACAGTTGTGGGAACTGGAATACAGTGTGAACCAGACGGATAGAGCCCCAGACCCTAGAGCTTATGTTCCAGTGGGCCACGGTCCATAGTCACACGAGCATCTCCTGGTGGTGACTGGTGCTGAAAGGACAGTCCAGCAGCGCCAGGACTTAGAAAGGGACAGGAAGGCATGGGCTGGGGGCAGTTTTCAGTGGGACAGTTGGAGAAGGCCTTCCTGAAGAGGCCTGACTGAAGAGATGACGAAGGGGTGCTCTGGCAGGAAACTGGCTGAGGTGGCCTCGGAGGCCGCAGGGTCTGGTGGTGCTGCAGAGGAACCCCCCTCTGCTTTCCTGGGTCACTTTCTTCCGGTGCCAGGTGGACTCCTCACACATTTCTGACCCCTACATGCCCCCCACACGATTTATTTCATCCCTTTTAATAATCTCCTCTACTTTACAGAGCGTTTTTACCACTGGCTCATGACTCACATAATTCATTTGCCCTTTTAGTCCCCACCGTTATGCTGGCTAAGCAGATGGGTGCCTCAGGTGACTGGTGATGGGTGACTGGTGATGGGCTGATCAGCTACAGGGCCAGAAACAGTCAGAGCCAGACTCCAGGCCCACTTCATCCTAATCCAGTGTTTTTCATGCAAGCTCAGTGATTCTCGGAATCCAGACACCAGCAGCCTCAGCAATGCCTGGGAGCTTGTTAGGAATGCAACTTCTTAGGCCTCAGCCCTGGCCGACTAAGTCCAAAGCTCTGGGATGGGACCCAGCAATCTGTGTTTAACAAGCCACCCGTGTGATTCGGCTGGGTTCTCATCTGGGGTCTCCGTGCTCCCGCCTCCTTCCTGGGTGTTGGGCTCCTAGCGTGATGGACACAGCAAGAATGCCAGAACGGAAGCAGCCTGCAGTCAGACAACCTCCCCACTCTCCTGGCCAGGGTGTTTCTCCTCTAGCCCCCAGGAAAGACCAAGACTTAAACAGAATCCCAGGGCCTGTGTCAGTCCTGAGATAAGGTCTGCACTGGGTACTGTCTGAGCCCGGGGGAAGGAGGGGAGCCCCACTCCAGCCGGTGGGGCCTGGTTCCTGGAAGGGGGGCTTCATGCTGTGTCCCTGCACCGTGAAGGAGCCCATGCCTGCTTTTCTAGCTTATCAGACCCTGAGGTTTTCACCAAAACTAGATGAATGGAACCGAGGGCCGGCTGTGAGGCAGTGAACGCCACGGAGTGGTGCCCAGGCCTTGGGGCTGTGCGACTCCCAGCCAGGCCTGGGGGGCAGGACCAGTGGCCGGACTCTGGGCAGCTCCCCCAATCCCTGCCAATGGGGTGCGGGCAGCATCGATTGCTTCTCTTCCGTCTGTTTTCTCTTTATCTCAGAAAACTCAAGTCCTGGCAATGCCTGTGATGACTTCCAGTTGCTAATAAAGGGCAATAGAGGTAAAGACAGGAATTTAGGGGAATTTCTCTCCAGTTCCTCATGGTGTGCCATTAGGATCTCTGTGCTGCTTCTGGCATCCGCTGAGGCCTTTCATGGGGTGGGACAGGCCGAGGTCAGCAGGTTGGGCCTGGACTCACTGTTGCTAGCCTTGATTCGTGGTTGCTCCCTGGTTAGCCAACCTGGGCACCTGCACTCCACAGAGACAGCTCTGGCACCAGCCTGACCCTTGTGTCCCCGGGCCCACTCAGCCTTCCGCCTCTTGCCTTGTGGGCCCGCCTCTCTTCCTGCTCCTGATCTCCATCTCAACCTCCTTCCTGCTACGCGACTCCTCATCAGCGCTGTCCACCGTGGCGTCGGCCACGTTCTCTGGCCGCCTGGCCAGCATAGTAGCTGGCGGCTGCATTGGTCATTCCCGTTGAACATGGACTTTTGTTCTCCCCTTCAGGGCTGAATGCCCCCTTGGTCCTCTCTGCCTGGTGTCCACGCGCGGCTCCCTCCTTCCCTCTAGGTACTATTAGAAGCTGAGAGTGGCCCAGCTCCCTGGCTCGTCCTCTCCCCCTCAGCCCTGGAAGCTCCTGGACATGCCTAAAGGCCCAGCTCCAGTGACCCCTCCGTGGTGGGAGCATTCATAAACCCCCTTTCTTTGCCCTGCTCTCTCTCCTTCCTGTTTACAAGAGCTAGCGGGTAAAGGTTAAGCTCTGGGTTAAATCCCAGCAAGGCCACACACTTCAGCGTGTGATTTCAGGCAAGGTGATTGACCATCCCGTGCCTGTCTCCTCATTTGTAAAATGGAAATAATAAAAGTGCCTAGCCTCCATGGTGGTTGTGGGGTTCAAAGAAATTTGTGCTCTGGGTGCTGTCCACATGGGGGTGGAAGAGCCCGGGCCTGCTCTCTAGCCCAGAGAGCCATGCTGTCAGGCTCCAGGGAAATGGCCCAGGAATCTGCACATCTACTCATGGCTCTCAGGGCCTGCCCACGGCTGGGGGTCCAGGACTCTAGGAATCAGTGTCCGTGCTGGGCAGCCAAAGGTCCCTGGCCACCTTAGCCTCTGGAGTCCACTGTTCCTGAGCTCCCTCAGAGGTGTGGGGTGTGGCCACCCAGGGCTTCAGTCTCCACATGAGATGCACATAGGATGCCTATTAAATCTGCATTTCAGATAGACAACAATTAAGTCTTAGCATGATTATGTCCTAGTTGGATACTATTTGGGACATGTTTGAGGTAAAATTATTCACTGTCTATCTGAAATGCAAGTTGAACCGGGCACCCGGGACTTTGACTTGCTAAATCTGGTGAGAAAGGAGAGAGGTACGTCATCTGCCATCACTGCCAGAGCATTCCCATTACTCCTCTGCCTCAGCTTCAGGGAGATGGTGAATGAGCCTGTAGCAACACGCGCTGAGAAGGTGTCCCTCCAACTGGAAGTGGCCTGGGGAGCGTGTGGGTTTCTTATCGCTGCTGTAACAAACGGCTTAAAACAACACAGACTTGCTCTCTTATGGTTCTCATGGTGAGAAGTGTGAAGCACAAGGTGTCGGAGCTCCTTACTGAGGGGTCTTGAGGAAAATCCTTTTTCCTGCCTTTTCCAGTGTCCACAGACTGTCCACGCTCCTCGGCTAGTGGCCTCTCCATCCCCAGGAGTGCCTGCCATGTCTCTCTCATGTCACCTCACTCTGACATGGTTTCTTCTGCCTTCCTCTTCCGCATTTAAGGACCCCTGTGATTGCACTGGGCCTATCCAGGAAGTCAGCTCGTTACTGACCTAATCCTGTCTGCAATCCCAACTCCCCTTGCCATGTAGCACAAGGTACTCCCAGCTTCCGTAGTTAGGATGGGCATCCTGGGAGGCAGTGTCTTCCCATCACTGCAAGGCTCCAGCGGTCCTCTCCTCTCTGCAGTTTGCTCATGGCATCCCAGACCTGGCGCTGAAGGACATTGCATGCAGCGAGGCCCTCCTGGAACGCTTCATCATCTTCAGCCAGCGCCGCGGGGCACAGACCGTGTACCACGCCCTGTGCCCCCTCTCCCAGGGCACCCTCCAGTGGATAGAAGACACTCTGTATGCCAACGTGGACTTCTTCAAGCTCTTCCGTGTGGTAAGGGGATGACTTCTGATTCACCTGTGTGAGCCTGGTGCTTGGGACAGTGCTTGAGGACGCTCTGGGCTCCTCGGGCCCAAGAAAGCTCGACTGACAGTATTTCTAGAACGGTGGCCCAGGGTCCCAGAAATCACAACGAGGTTCACTGTCAGATGTATGGCTGTGGTGTGTTTGTGTCCATGTGAGACGTGGGGCACGTCCATGTCGCCACCTCTGGCTCTGTGGCAAAGGGAAAAGGGGGCCTGGCCGGACTTGCTGCTCTCCCAACGTCCCAGCCAGGTGACCATGAGCAGGATGTTCAGCCTTTCGTGGTCCCACCGCTCGCCTGGACAGCAAATCTAATACTTTATAGAGTGGGGGGGAAAGATGCAGGAAACATATATTTAAAGCATTTAATACAGTTTAACAAATGAGGATTTGAGGCTCCTTCCTCTGGGTCTGGTCTCAACCCCAAAGCTTGCTGTTTCTGGAGAGAAAAAGTGACAGAGAAAGTGTCATAATCCGAAAAATGTGGAAAACCTGGATCCAGCGCAACCCTCTGTTCAATCCTATGTCCCAGACTGCTTGGGAACTGATAATGTTCCCTCCTTTGCTGGAGGATAAGATAAGAAGGAATTACAGAACAGTAGAGGTGGGGCCGAGGCCCTCGAACTACAGAGAGCATGAAGCCATCAAAGAAGTGACAGGAGACGCAGTTTCCAAATCCATCCCCAGAGACTCTGATTCAGGAGCATGGGGTCAGGCTGGAGGCTGCCTTGGTACCTTGGTGATTCTCATAGAAGTTATTGCAGGCCACACTTTCAGAAACACTCAAGACTAGAATCCTTCACAGAAGAGGGTATATATAATACTTGTAGCACTCAACTGTGGTTTTCCTGTGCCTACATTTTAACTTCCAGAACTGTGTTGTGGGGAATGTCAGTACAAAGTGCTTACTTGAGAAATTTGTGTTTTACCTTTTTTTATAGTTGCTCTCTCAAGTCCCAGAAAACCCACTCTCAGCTTGTCTTAAAAAGCAAGCTGAAACCTTTGAAAGATGAAACAAAATAAAACTAGACCCCACGGTTTCTGGCAGAATTCACATTTAATCCCCTTCAAAGCATGACTTTTCTTGGAAAATTTCCCTGCAATTTTCCTAGCTCATCAGGGTGTGTCCCCAAAGTGGGCACGAGGGGTTAAGACCCTGGGATGCCACCACAGCTGAGTCCAGGACCCAGAAAAGCTCCCTTGGCCCCCATGCTACAAGGAGAATAAAAAGTCACATTAGTCCAAATGTCTCTGTGCAAAGTTTCAAAGGAAGCTGATTTTAGACACTCCTTGGTTTTTCAGAATCAGAAGAGTGAGTGAGGCAACAAAGATCCCTCACTCTGGTCAGCTGGGCTCCAGCACCACCCAGAGACCGGCCTGTGTGTGCAGAGCCACAGAAGGTCCCTGCCAGGTGTCCAGGTCTTGTCGCATGGGCTACAGAACAGCACGATGACCAGGTCTGTGCATGCGGGCCTTGCAGGCAGTCCCTGGCACCTGGGTATCCAGGATCGTGCAGTCCTGTCACTGTGAAGGGAGTAGGGTCATCCTTCTCTTCTTGAAGCACCTCAGCCAAGGGATAGGTAAATTTACCTTCCCAGGCAGGACCATGGATCCTGGAATGTCAGTCCTGGATATAGTGGGGTAAACAGGCACCTGGCAAAGCTTTCCACTAGAGACCAGACAACACACAGGCTGCTGACTGCAGGGTATTCACTTATTGTACAAGAAAGCCCACAAAGCCTGTTCTTCTGCCCTTACACAGGCAAGTGCTAGAGCTCAGAAACCCTAAGCTAACTTGGTCCAGTCAACCCCACTGACCTCAGATGGGTCCTGGTGCTTGCTCCCTCTGCCTATGTGTCCGGACCCTCAGACATGTACCAGCACCAGCGAGGGACAAGCCTGTGCCGAGGCCAAGACCAAGGCTCCAACCTTGACCCACCCTCACTGAACTTACAGTCAGACCAGAGACCAGCCGGCAGACCATTTCACAGCAGCACTACTTCGAGAGAAAAACACCAGCAACATTGTCTCCTAGATCAGTGGTCCCCAGGCTTACCTACACATTGAGTCACCTGGGGAGCTTTTAAGAATTACAAATGGCCGGGCTTGGTGGCTCAGCCTGTAATCCCAGAGCTTTGGGAGGCCGAGGTGAGTGGATTGTCTGAGACCCACCCAGGCAACTTGGTGAGACCTCATCTCTACAATCAATCAAAAATTAGCCAGGCATAGCAGTGCGCACCTGTGGTTCCAGCTACTTGGACGGCTGAGGCGGAAGGATCGCCGGAGCCCAGCAGGTTGAGGTTGCGGTGGCCGGGAGTGGCCACTGCACTCCAGTCTGGGCAACAGAGTGAGACTCCAACTCAGAAAAAAAAAAAAGAACTACAAATGCTTGGTCCCCACCCCCAGAGATCCTGTCGGTTGGCTTGGGTGTGCAGCCTGGACTTCACTATTTTAAAAGCTGTCCAGATCATTCCAACGTCCAGACAGAGTTGAGAATCCCTGCCTTAGAATGCAGGAATTTGATTTACAATCTCAATTTCTGTAGACCAAGCATAATAATAATAGTACCCCAAATGTCCCGGGGGGCCCAAAGAACTTTCATTTGCTCCCCCATAAGCCCAAGGGTGCTGTGGAGACACATCCTCCTTCCTGTTCTCCCAACAAGGCTGGTGAGTGGCCTGGCCTGGTGTGGACCCGGACACTGCCCGGAAGAGAAGCCCCAGGAAGGGGGACCGGCCTCGCTTGGCCTCCGAGAATGACCCCACTTGCTGTCCTCACTCCTGCTTCCACCTCTTTGGGGAAAGACCTAACCCAAGCAGGATACCCTAATCCTGTCTAGTCTTCTGGTGCCCTTGATAGGTGCTTTTTCATTTGACGAATGGATTCCATTTTAAAAAATACTAACAAGGAAATCTAAAAGAAATTGCAGACATTAAGATGGGGCTTTGCTTCTATTGCTTTTGTGTCCATGCCATTGGTGGGCGCAGAAAGGCTTAGGGCAGACTCTGCGGCCCTCTGAAGACCCGCGGTGGCCGGGCTGCTCTGGGCCGGGGAGATCCCCTGTGGGATTCGCCTGTTGTTGCAGCTGGCTGGCTGGCGGCCACGCCGCCCCGGCGCAGGAATGCTGTGCCTTCAGCTGGGGCGTTTCTCGTGCGCACGTAGGCCAGTGTGCAAATCAGGCTTTATTAGATGCCAGATCAGCTCTCGTTAGCAAAGAAAGAGGGGAAATCTCTGTACACCACTGTGACAGAGCCTGCCCTGTTGTGCAAGGAGCTGAGGTGTGGGTGCCACCTCCAAGTCCCAGGAACTGCGGGGCCCAGAGAACCGCGGCACCAACTGGGCCCAGCTGTGTTTTCCCTGGGTCCCCTGGAGATCAGAAGTGAGTGTTGTCATCCTCAAATAATCCAAAGGCAGCGCCCGTGGCCTGACTCCACCTCACCCGTCCCTATACGCCCTTGCACGTGCGTGTGCACACACACACTTGCACACTGTTGCCCACGCTCACTTGCCAGTGCACACATGCATGAGTCGGTGACCTTGATGGGCTGAGAAAGAAACCAGAAGCCAGGTGACTGGATTTTCTCCAGCCAGATCCAGCCCCTCGTGGTTTCACCTGAAGGAACTCGTCTTCACCTGAGGCACTGTCAGGTTTAACGCCCCCAGCTTGAACCCCAGAAACTCTGACCTAGGTCCAAGGTATCATTAGTGCCAACACTACTTGAAATGTTTTGCAACTCATAAAAAATGGCATGTCAGTTTCGAGTGAGGGGTGGGGAGATGGCCCATCTGATTTGGCCCAAGGCTGCTTGTCCCTCCCCCTCCTCCCCCTCCACCCCTCCTCACCCTCCCTATCCTCCCTTCCCATCCTTCCTGTTTTCTCTTTGACTCTGGCGCATGGCTTTGAAATCCTGCTGAGAAGCAAATCTGTCCCTTCTGCTTTGAATGTTTATTTGCGGAAGTTGGGCAGGGGAACTGAGGAGGGTGCCAAGACCTGCCATGCTGCTGGGAAGTCTAGTTTCCCTCCCTGCCTCTTCTCCCTAGACATTGATAGAGAGAATCTGGCCCTCCTGGCATCTTGGTTCACCGTTTCCCTACAAACAGTTCCAGCGCAACATGATTCAGCTCTTTCCTCACTCTTTCTATCACCCAGCTGCAGTTTTACTTTGCAGACTTTATCTTGCCCTTTCACGATGGGGTGGCTGAACGCTGAGTTCCAGGGAAGGAAGGCCCCGTCTTGGGGTCCTGACTCCACGCTCCTGCCATTGTCCTGCTTCGTGCTTGGCTCTGTCCCTGGATTCCTGAGTCACTGGGATGAGCGTGGGTGGACGGCCCCCTGCCTGGTGAGCACCGGCCACGGTCCTCCTCTCCCGGGTCATTCGTGCAGTTTGTTAACTTTCAATGACCTGTTTCGGTTTTCAGGTGGATGTTGGCTGCGCCAAAAGTCTCTGGGAAGCCCCCACATCTCTGGGATTTTACAGTGAGGTCCTATGCATACTTCATGGTTTCCTGGCTTCCAATTTCTAAATCTTTGGCCTGTCAGCTTTCTCTCACTTCTGTGCAAAGGTTCTGGGAGGGGAGACGGAAAAGGAGTGATGTTCAAGTGCTAGCACACCAACCCTGAGTCAGAAAATAGGGTTTTTGTATATTTGAAATATGTTAAGCCACAGCAAGAATATTTGGCTTTTGGCATTAGTATTTGTTCTGCTGCAGCTGCAGTGTGGACGGATCCTGGCTCTGTGTTGGCCCCCAAGTTGCTGTTATTTAAAGGGGAAACTCAGCCTCCCCACAGGAACTACAGGCAAGCGCTACCATGCCTGGCTAATTTTTTATTTTATCGTAGAAACGAGGTCTCGCCAAGTTGCCCGGGCTGGTCTCAAACCTGCAGGCTCAGGCAGTCTGCTCGCCTTGCCCTCCCAAAGTGCTGGGATTACAGGCTGAGTCACCGAGCCCGGCCAACTTGCTGTCATTTA